TGATCAATAAGCAGCCGTCGAGTTACAAGAAGATATTGATGTAAATTCTATAAAGCCAATTTGATGATAAATTCCTCCAAATCCAAAATCATGTTATTCTGCTCTAATACTAAGCGTGAGCGCATCCTCCAAACATTTCATCCCAAAATTGGATCAGATACAGTAGAATTTAGAAATGAGTCTAAAATACTTTTACTTTACCAGCCTCGCTTGGATCAGCTCACTAAAAGACGCTTACAAGTGATTCAAAACAACTGCCTCAGATTCACATGTAGTTTAAGAAAATACGACCATGTTATCCATGCTTACAACAGTATTGGATGGATGAAGCTCGAGTGTTTGACAAATTTTATTGGTCTTCCTGCATAAGCTGATAAACCCAAATACCTAAGAGAAAAACTTATTTTTTCTAATGAAGTAGATACCAAAACTCTTAGATATACATTAAATATTAGAATACCCCATTACGTCACCTTGCTTTTCCAACGCTCATTTTCCTATAATGCTGCTAGTCGCTACAATAATATTCCTGATGGTTATAAAACCATGAATCTGTCTTGTTTTTGTAAGCATGTGAGGCTATATTTACAGTGCTCTACATTATAATGTTTCTTCTTTGTCTAATTTTTGTTAATAATACATTTATAAGTTAGTTTATGGGCACATATGATCGCCAGAAATTTTGAAAACGAAACGAAAACCTCTAAATGAATTTAATTTATACAGAAATAAATTAACCACAATCACAAAAGAGGCTAAATTGAAATGTTTGAACAATGAAGTTGACAAACTTCAAAATTTTTCGGCCAAAATGCCAAGAAATTCCTACTGTACAAAAAGAAAATGGGGGGCTTACAAAAAGCGATATGGAAACAGGCAATGAATTTTGTAAACATTTTTCTGAAATTGGTGAGAATCTGGCAAAAGACATTTCAAATGAAACACAACTTATATTATATACGAAAACCATATTGCAAAATTCCCTGTATCTGACACAGACCGATCAATACGAAATTCTTAAAAAACGCTTTTCAGATTTTATTGCAAAATACAACCTCATCTCTGAAGAGCAGTAAACAAAATCAACTAAATATGCACTTATTCAGTTAACAATGAAAATTTACAAGTACGTTGATAATAAGTCAACAACATGCCTTATTGTAGACCTAACCAAAGCATTCCATAGTATTACGCATCAAAAATTATGAAGAACCTAGGAAAATTTAGGATTTCGTGGAGTCACTTATCAACTCATGAAAAGTTATCTGGAAAACAGAATACAATGTGCGAACATCAACAGTAAGTACACTGAGTGAAAATATGATTGTTAGATGCGGAGTTCGACAAGGAACCGTATTAGGACCAATGCTGTTTATATTAATGACCTTTTTAAGTCAAAAACGATGGAGAAATATTTGGTTTTGCAGGCGATATGGCTACTATTTACTCAGACAAAGATTGGACTTCTTTAAAAAACAAAGTTGTATTAGATTACAAAGGTTACAAGTTTTTTCACGGAAAGGATTTTAACAGTCAATTTCAACAAAGCATACTTTATTACATTTGCTTGCGACAACAGATCTTCCCCAAATTTTAATCATCTCCAAATTAAGACATTGAACAGTTTTAGAAACATACAATCGGTTGATAATTTCAAATACCTAGGGATATTCATAGATAACCATCTAAGATGGAATAAACATATTGAAAATTTAGTAAGAAAATTGAGATACCTTATTCCGAAAGTCATATATTTCAGCAGTTTTTTAAGCGAAAAATATCTACACATGATATATCATGCCCTTGTTCAATCACTACTACCTTACGGAATCTTAACATGGGGGGAGTCATGAATAATTATTATAAAGAGACTGAAATTACGCAAAAGTGGATTTTGAAAGTTATTTTGAACACAAAAAATGTTATCAATCAGAAAACAACAAAAAATCCAAAATTTTTACTTTCTAATAGCCACAACCATGAAACGCGATTCAAGGAAACCTCTGCACTAATTCCAAGACTTAATCAAACCATCAGCCAAACATCATTCTATTTTCTATGCTAAAAATTTTGTAATGTTATTCCTGCAAACTTTAAACTTATAAAATGTAAAAAACGTTTAAAAATTGAATTAAAATCATGGATCCTAAATCAACCAAGGCTCCAAATCCATAAGTTTGTTGACATTAAAAACATATATGTTAATTGATCATAAAATGATGCAAATCTATACAGTTGACTAGTATACTTAAAGAAAATTTGTTGTATTAATAGAACTCAACTTCGGTTAAAACCCAAGCACAAGTGTATATTATGTTCATTGGACGTTGCCATTATTATTTATACGAAAACTTTGTAATTGGGCCAATTATTATTGTCTGAATTTCTTCTTTTTACTAGAGTTCAATGCAGCGACTTTTTTTTAAATATGAATATTAGTCAGTTATAAGCTGTAGTTTGAAAAAGGCCACCGTGGTAGCCGAAACGTTAATAAAAAGACAGAATTCAAATATATATGGTTTCAATTAGTGGAATGGGAAGGACGGGGGTACACTAAAAAAATAATTACATAACTTATATTCTTTTAAAAGATATTTTACGCATCACATATACTGTATATATTTCATATAATGCTCCCATATTTAGAATTCGTTGTGTATTACCTAAAATACATAACATATTACGGGAACGCAGTTTATGATAACCCAGAATATATTATTTAGTTTCTACTTGATATGATATACGTGAGCTTGATTACCTTTTTACATAATTCATTATACAGTTTATTGTACAGGGTGTCCAACATGCAAAAGGAACGTATTGAACAAGCTATTTTAATTTTAGAAAATTGCAGTGTAACAGGTGACCAGTAGGCGTGAAGCATACGACTCTTTTCACTGAGCTCGTTCATTTCGTTCATCTCTCTTCAGTGAGTCGTTCGTTAGGAGTCGGTCGTTTGAACGACACGCTTCCCGACCGGCCTCGAATGACAAATGTATTCGTGTATTATGTGTTGTCTAAACGTAATGACTCAGACTCACGGCTCACTCACTTCCCACATGTTTTGTGCTACTACCTGTTGCAACTTTTGTGATGCTACTCACTCATGGAATGTATCAATATTGTAAAGCATATATCATATCATGTCTTCAAAAAAAAGCGATGTTTGGCCAGCTTTTGAGGAGTCACCGGGTTCTAGAGCAAAATTATTTTATTTTATTTTATTCATTACAACACCCTACGGTAAATACCAATTACAGGGTGAGCAAACACAGAACATAACCTAGATATAAAAGACAATAATAAGTAATAGACTACAAAGTGTAAAAGATACATGCTGGTTACTTAATGGTATTTTTTATGTCTGCAATTCTGCAGCTAAATATATCAATCCGGTTACTTGTAGAATTGTAATTCCTACACATCACATGCAAAGGGGAATTAGGTAAATAATTTGTCCCTGCCGCAGGTAGATAAAACGTAACGTTTTGTCGGGATGTCAGCCTAGGTACGTTAAATGATAACTGACCCAAGAAAGCTAAATCATCACTAGCATTGTTGATCAATTTAAACAGAAAATTCACTGACTGGCCAGTGCGCCTTGCTTCAAGACTGCTGATTAGATGTTTTTCAAGTAAGGAATCATGAGGTATACCTATGGGCTGGTAAACGCCATCCACTTTCAGTGTCAAATATTTTCAGAAACGTCTTTGAACATATTCATGCCTACCTATATGAATAATATGATGCGGATTCCAAATTAGCAGTGCATACTCAAGCTTCGTCCTAACATGCGGTTTGCCTCGGAAATTTTGCTGTCAATGTGGTGGACGAATGTTAGTTGGAAGTCAAATGTTACGCCTAAGTCACATAAAGTTGAATTCCTCTGAATAGGTACCTGACAAAGTATAGTCAAATAACAGAGGATTTTTCTTCAAAGTGTAAGCATTACGTAACATTTATTGACGTTTAATGACAGATTGTTTTGTGAGCACCAAGCATCCAACCTGACCAGATTTTCTAAAATTTGATCACAGTCTGATTCATCAACTACACTACAAAACATCTTCAGATCATCAGCGTAAAATAAACAATTCTCGCCAACAGCACTAACTATGTCATTCGCAAATATGACGAACAATAAAGGCCCTAGGTTACTGCCTTGTGGCACTCCGGAATTGGCTACAAACTCCAACGATCTGATGCCATTAAACATCACAAATTGACTTCTTCCAGTGAGGTAGGACTGAAATAGTTGTATTAAAGGCTCGGATAATCCATGAGATTTCAGCTTATGCAATAGCATCCTGTGATCAACTCTGTCGAAAGCCTTGGTGAAGTCTGTGTAGATCACACCTGTTTGTAATGTAATGTTTTCCGCTATGGTCTGTGTGAAGGTCATCAGATTTGATACTGCTGAGCGCCCTTTCATGAAACCATGTTCTTGAACACATATTTTTCTGCTGACATGATGATATAGTCTGTTATGTATTAATATCCCTAGAGCTTTTGAAAAATTGCACAATATTGATATAGGTCTAAAATTTGATACATCATTCCTACTGCCGTTTTTATGTATTGGACATACATTAGACAACTTCCATAATTCTGGAATTGTGCAGGTGGTAAGACACAAGTTGAATAAAACGGTCAAAGGACACGCCAACACAGAGGCACAGTCACGCAAAATCAAAGCTGATACATTATCCGGTCCGATGGTCATCTTAGGTTTTATTTGCTTCAAGGCTAAGACAACTTCATCCTCCTCAAATCTAGTAATATTGAATAGTAGTTCATTGCTCATTAAAAAGTCATCAGATTCTTCGGTGGCTGATGACGAGTAGTATTTGGAGAAGTAATCCGCAAAAGCATTTAATATGTCGTTCGGTTCCAAAAGTTCATTACCATTGTAAATCATAATACTTGATAAGTTTGTATGCTTAGTATTGAGAATGCTGTTGACATTACAACAAATATTCAGGGCAGGGTGATATGGGTCTTTATCTAGCAGCGGAATGTTCAACCTCACACAGATCACCACAGAAAACTAAATCAAGGATATTGTCCATAGAATTTGAAATGTTGTTAAACTGATTAAAAGCAAGACCCTCAGCAAAGTTGTTCAACGATACCAATTTTGCGTTGCGTCCATGACTATTAACATAAGAAGTGTAGTTAGCTATGTTGAAATCCCCTGTTATAACTAAATTCTTATCAAATAGGACGTGCGATGACAAGATAGCATCATGAAATTGCTCATATTCAGCATTGGACTTATCAGGTGGTATGTAGACATTGCAAATGTAGACTGAAAAAGAGTTGGTACAAACCTTGACTGCTACAACATCAATCTTTAGGGCAGAAAGCACTGCCAACTCAGGTATCTCTATCAAAGATGCTGTAAAACGCTCATCAATCGCAATCAACACACCACCACCTCCTGAGCAACCAGTGGTTACATAATCACGATCTGTCCGGAACACATATGTAGTTGGAAAAAATTCACAACTCATAGACGAGAAATCTAACCAGGTTTCAGTTATTGCAATGATAGGATATTCACACCTACAAATAGCATTATAAAAAACAGCAGCTTCCGTTCGAAGTCCACCAACATTTTGGTTGTATATTAGAGGTTGCAGCATATCACTTCAATTAGAAACTAATCAATTGTGAGTTACGACGAAGGGATGCATTGGTTGCTACTGACTGAATAGGTCGTGCCTTAATCTATCAAGGGCTTCATTGTATGCCTTGCATTTCTGCTTGTCCCAAACAGCAAGATTTGTTTGCACACTATAATCTTTCTGTTTAAGTTTCGTACAGTTTGAGCATTTACGAGAGTGTGATTTGCAATGTTTGATTCTCGCTACAGAGTGGGCAAACAACCGCACCTTTACATTTGCTAGAATAATGATGGAAGTCATTACATTTAAAGCAACGATACACATCAATAACATCGTAAACAGCGCAATTGACATACCCCACAAACAAGTAACCAGCTTTAACAATTTTCTCATAACTACTCCTATCAACCTCAACAATAGCTTGATATACAGAAGGGTCTTTTTAGTAGGAAAGTGCTTAACAATGTTACATTCAAAATCATCTCCGAAGATATCTGTATTTCCTTTTAATAACAATTGAAATTTTTGATCTTAAATCGTATCATTTCGGAGAGGATCAACATATGATTTGATGAAACATCTTAAGAGAAAGCATCCTGGTTCCGTGGACAGTATATGTAGGAAGGGCGGCCAGAGATCAAAATCAACTATCAGAAGCCTGTCCATCTATACACTCCACCTTCAGTTCCAGTAACCAGAAAACATCACAGCGTTTCATGTAGCAACTAAAACACAACATACCTTAAATATGAACCTGTGGCAGTGAAAAAGAAGGATGAGGTAAGCCGGTCTCTGGTCAGAGTGACTTCCAAACAATATCTACCATTTCAAATTGTGGAAAGTGAGGATTTTAAGCAGTGTGTTAAAGAATTGAACCCTGGCTACTTGCTCCCCTGTAGAAAAACTGTCAAAAGCATTGGTACCTCAATATTGTAATAAAACAAGAGAGGAGGTGTTCAATAAAATACAATCAACGGAATTTGTTTGCTTAACAATTGATGCACGGACATCGGCAACAAATGAAAGTTATTTGGCCATCACAGGCCACTATTTTACATTCTAATAAGATTAACTTAATCTTATTAGAGTGCTATAATTATACTGACAGCCATACAGCTGCAAATTCATGTGACGAACTAAAGAGAATTGCACATGAGTGGAGGATTGATCAGACAATTGTTGCCATTGTTTCTGATAATGGGACAAATATAGTAGCAGCTGTGAAGAAAACTGACTGGAACCACGTTCCCTGTTTTGCACATACATTTAACTTAGTGGTGCAATCATCTTTAGAAAAGATACACAGTATTAGACAAAAAGTCAAAACCATAGTTGATTTTTTTAGGCGTAGCCCACAAGTTACTGAAAAATTAAAACAAATGGAAATTCAACTCGGGCTTCCTGAATTAAAAGTGAAGCAAGATGTGGCCACAAGATGGAATTCCACATTTGACATGTTCCAGCGCATACTAGAAATAAAACAACCATCGATGTCGGAAATTGCAATACATTGCACGAACCTGCCAAATTTAACAAACACGGACATGAAAATTTTGGAAATATGTTGTCAGATATTAAAAGTGATCAAGGAAGTAACAGAAGAAATGTCATCAGAAAACGAGGTGACTGTTTCAAAAATTATAAATAATCCAGAAATTCCAGAAGAGTGTAAACAGCTGACTGAGGATCTATTACCGTCTTTACAAAAAAGGTTTAGCAATATAGAATTTAACAAAATGTTTGCTGAAGCAACAATTCTGGGTCGACGATTTAAAAAAATTGAATTTGATAGTAAAACAGGTTTCGAATCTGCAAAAAAAAATTCTATTAGTTATGTCACCAGGAATATCCTATCATCAAGTGAAGTCACCAACAGAAATGATGAGCAGATTCAGGCAATTGAAGTTGAATGGACAAAAAAAAACTACAAAATCAGCTATATGGGAATCTTTTGATTCGGCTATTGCTGATGTGGTGTTAATCCTTTAATAGCCGGAATTATAGAAGTAGAAAAATATCTAGATGAGCCATTATTGTGACCCATTTGTGTTGTGGGAGCAAAGGAAACATGTATACCCCTGACTATATCTGCTTATGAAAAGGAAGTTAAGCATAGTAGCTACTTCAGTTCCCAGTGAAAGGATATTTTCTAAAGCTGGTCACACTCTCACAGAAAAAAGGAGCAATCTTCAAGGATAAAAAGTTTCGATGTTACTCTTTTTGAATTCCAATTTGTGATGATTATTGTTATAGTTCAAATGGATATTAAAGATGTGATTAAGTTTTTGTTTTATATATTTCTATAACTTGTTTATTGAAATACGTAAATTATTTTTTGTGAAAAAGTTATATTTCTAGTTTCATTTATTTATTAAAATAATGTTCTTAAGTCATTACTTTCTGTGAATAAGTTTTTATGTTTAGTATATTTATTTTTTTTATCTGTTTGGTAGTTTAATTTATTGCAAGCATTCAGTCTGTGATTAAGTTTCTGTTTAATATATGTTTTATTTTGTTTTTTATGACTTGATATTCAAGTTTAATCAAATATGATTCCTAATTACAGTTTTTTTTTGTAAATATGTTATGATGTAGATATATTTTCAATATTCGTTATATTTTTGTTCATTAAGATATTAGCACGTGCTTGACTGAAGCGACGGTGCATGGGAACCAAAATCTTCAAATTTCGATTTATCCCTCCAGAGTATCTTCTTCCAGCCAGCAACTGTCCAATTTTGGTGTTGTTGGGCCCAATTCGGTCTCTTTTTTTTGTCAGTAGCCCTGGGAAGTGGTTTCGATACTGCTATGCGTCCCTCTCTTAACTGTAGTGACACTTACAGGTTTACTACGGCCCACATTCAAGTCCGCTGCTATGTCGAGTTGAGTCATGCGACTATTGGGTTTACTTTCCACTATTATGGTTAAGTCCTCAGAGGAAGTTGTAACTCTAGGTCCTCCTGAACGACGGCGATGCTGTGCCTTGAGCCTTAAATTTCTTAATAACGAAGTCTACAGATGACAGTGGTACTTCCTGAAGCTTAGACATGTCTCGAATACTTTTGCCGGATTTATGAACACCAATAATAACTCCTTGTTCCTCCTCCTCCACTTGTTGAACAATGAACTAGAATGTACTGAAGCACGGTTGGTTTATCAAATGAGACAAGCTAACTGAAGTAAAACAGTGTTATGGACTTACGTTCAACCCAAATTAAAAGAAATAATCGAAAAACATATCCTGAGAAAGAAATCCTATACAATAACATAACAATATTCTAAAGGTAAAGACATTCCTATTATGGCTAATGATGAGATTCCAATAACAGTGTGAGCAAAATTTTGATTTCAACGACCTTTCAGTGATGCTTGATTTCCATGGAGATGGTTTTCAATAAATAAAGAAAAATAAATACTGGATAGTCTTTTTTTGTTTGTTATGATTTTAAACGGAAATATGCAGGTGTTCAAATACTTTTGAACGGTAGTGTACACTGCCTGTTCAGTATACCTATAGGACGTCCCACTTTGAAGCAAGTCGGTATTGTAGTAATTTGAGTGCAGGGTTTTGGGTTTGTAATTTGTATGGTCCGTGCTCATTTTATTGCAGTGTAGTTCAAAGACGAGGGTCAAGGTTATTTCATACAGGAGTCTGTTAGAAACAGGTTGGAATTCGAATTCCAGATTTTAAATAAAGTGATTCTTAATAAAACATTCGCCTAGGAATTACAACAGCTAGAGCTCCCGTAGCAGTATCGAAACCACTTCCCAGGGCTACTAACAAAAAAAAGAGATCGAATTGGGCCAAACAACATCAAAATTGGACAGTTGATGATTGGAAGAAGATACTCTGGAGGGATAAATCGAAATTTGAAGATTTGGGTTCCATGCACCGTCGCTTCAGTGAAGCACGGTGGAGGCTCTATGATGGTTTGGGGCTGTTTTGGTGGTTCCCCTCTGGGGGATATTGTGAGAGTACACGGAATGCCGAATAAAGAAGGTTACAAAGAAATACTACAAAGTCATATTGTGCCTTCTGGGACTTGTCTTATTGGTCCGGGCTTTGTCTTTCTCTCAGCATTATAATGATTTTTGGAAGCAAAAAAAGAACAAAACTATTTTGAAAGTGATGCCTTCCCAATTCCCGGATTTGAATCTGATAGAGTTGCTGTGGGATGAACTGGACAGACAAGTACCGAAATGTTGTCATAACACTTATGGAGAATATTACAAGACGAACGGCGAAAAATCCGCTTTGGAAAAATTAGTTGCGCGTTGATTCATCATTTCCCAGGCTGCAATTAAAAGTAAAGGAGGAGATATTGAAGAGTCAAAAATATGATTATTTTGTAGTTGTATGTTGATAAAAATAATTAAAAAAATAAATGTTTCATACATATCTTGTAATGTTTCCTTTAATAACTTCCATAAGTTTCCTTGTTTCCTGGGTGTTCAAATACTTTTGAACGATAGTGTATGTGTTGAATTTTAGTGGGAATTAAATCAGTCATAGTATATGAAAAGAGCATTATTTTGAAGTTCCGTAACAAAAATAAAAGCAAGTAACTGAGAAAAGGTAACAGCTAACACAAACACTTGCTTTGTTTGCGTTGATCGATTCGCATAGTCCACATTAAGCGCTAATGGCGCATGGGATCCAAGTAAATACAGCAATAGGGCAAAAACACGTTTTAAATTCGAACAAAAACTTATTCAATCTTCGTTCATAAAAAGTTAAAATACAGACACATTGATTTTTTACTTTTTAGAAAAAACAAAGCCGTATAAAATAAACGACACATTCAAAATACCATTAACTTGCTGGCTCTTGTAAAACCAATCTAAGATAGAAATAGTTTTGTATTACCAGCTGCCACACCCTAAAA